TGAGCTTCATCCTGACCAACACATTCTTTCACCTTCAGCTGCAGCATAGATGATCTGGCTGCACCCGGCGCTGGCACTGACATATACTGTAATATGACCTCGTCCGATGGCGTGACCAGCAAGATGTGCTGCTGAATAATATAGTTATGTTTGCCGACGGTGGACCGATAATTGCCTCTTCATCTCCAAGATTATGATCTGGATGCAATCACACAGGAGGCTTCAAGGTAAGCGACCCCCAATTAAGTTGAATACTGTTTTGTTGAATATGCCTGCTTATGATATGCATTTCAGCAAAGAGGTGGCTCAGAGTCTATAAAAACTTCCAGTTGCAAATGAAAATTCCTCAGTGGAGAATTGATAATGTCAACTGAGGAACACAGTCCAGTCCACTGCCCTTAGTGTTCTCGGCCGCACAAGTGGTCAACACCAGAACCGGTTTGAAAAAAATGATGCAACCATCAGCAACCCACTCACCGAGAAGAACCGGCTGCAAAAAGTCTACGTTGACCGTCCTATCGACAAAAACAAAGCGATCTTCTACCGAAGTCGCCTTCTTGTACACTAACAACTACAGGAGATTCAGGACGTCTGTGTGGCTTGTAATGCCGAAGAGATCCAAGGCTATGTGGGCTGCACCGGCTGGAATAATTTCTTCGCTGCGATTGAAGCAGTCTACGATCCCATGGTCGAATTCCGAGGCGCTGGACGGAGCCCTTTCAAAACTCCTCCACCATCTTCGATGTCGCTCTCAACCGACTGCCTCAGGTTGACATCAAAGACGAACCCGATCTCTCACTCAATCTTCCAGAAATCATCAGGGGCGTATAGCACACACTGCGACCACCAACTTATGAAAAACTTCACTGCGCTTTTGCAGAAGATGAGTCGCCAAAGACACAGCTCCTAAACTTCAAGGACGACAAAATTGCCCACCTCTGCCAACGCAAAGGCAACCATCAATACTGTGAAGGATCTCGTTGCTCAACGTTGCCCGGGTTCCAATAAACCATCTCAATAGCCACCTAGAACAAGGCTTCTTATCAGAAAGTCAATGCGGTTTTCGTCGTCATCATGGCACCATTGACGTTATATTCTCTGGGTGTCAGCTGCAGGAGAATTGCCAGTGGGTGGATATTCACACATAGGCGACCTTCCCAGACCTGACAAAAGCCTTCGACGTGGTAAACCACAGAGGAATATAGAGGGTCATGCAGAAATTCAGCTGTCTTAACTGCTTCATTCACATGGTTCTTCAGCTCCACTACGGGATGATGGCACGCATCACTGACCACGGGCCGGTTTCGGAAGCCTGTCCAATGAACAACCAATAGGAGTTACCTACATTTCCCTTAATAAAACTTGACCTGACCTTCTTGTGAAGAAAGGGCTAGAATAGGTGCCCTAAACGAATACTGAGATCATGTCATCTGCACACCGACCAGGGCTCTCAGGTGTCTCACTCGCGGTGGAAACAATCAAACAAAAAAACCTCTGTCCCAAACGCACGGACTGCTGGAGTGAGTCCGCCTATTCTGGCTGCATCAGAATTTCGCTCTTTTATAGATAATCCGAGGAGCAGCCGGTGGGAAATAAGGACTTTATTAGTCGCCCGAGAACTGGCGCACATCAAGGTGCACATAACAACATTCGCTGGAGGAGGTGAGTGTCGGCTACAACTTCTTCTGCAGTCGGCGTACCATTGCCAGAAGCCCCAACATGCGCTCGCCGTATCTGCCTACACTGTTTACACTGCCAACGCACATTCAGTCACCGCATGGGCCTAAAAGGTTGCATGCGCCACCATGCAGACCTGCTTTAGAACACTGGCAGACATACCACATCTCCTCATCAACACCCACATCCAGCATGACCGCGCCAGACATCACGCCCTGTAAGCACGTCATTGGAATCTCTCACGTCGGTGGGAAGTGAATTCCTCGACTCCTTCGTTAGGCCGCTCTTCTGCTATGTGTGACTAAAGCATGAGATTATCACGATGCCCTAAAAGCTGTGGCTTGGAGGGTGGTCAACTGACAATTAAATGCAGACTTTGTAGTCAACGCAGTGTGTGTTTGTGTGAGGTGGCCAACTGAGTCGGACTGCTTTCGCTCCTTCTTAATGTTACATCTACGGCACTTTGTCTCCGAGACCCTAGTCGTCTTACCCCTTCAGAATGAAGTTCTGATGCTTTGTGTTTGCGAGGCCAGGTCGACGTATAGAATATCAATAGCCACTGCGCCCATTCCCCGTACCAGACAATTGATCGGCTCGGGAAGTGGTTAGGCCGTAGGAGTAAAGAAATAGGTTTTCCTTTCATCATCCTCAAGAGAGGAAGAAGAAGAAGAAGGGACGATCTCTGTGACCAAGTTGTATTTTAGCTGACGTTTCAAAAGCCTTCTCGCTTCCACCATCAGAACGTAGTGACTGTTCTCCTGCTAGTGTACAGTAAGTGTGTCCAACCGCCAGCCTGACGCCCGCGTGTCAATCGTCAACGTCTCATTGCATTTTCTCACTATAAACTCTCTGACGCAACTGAAGCTATCATGGTGGTAGAAGTTTTTCAACTGACGGGATAAATCGGGTCACGCAGTCAGCCCGGTATGCGCTTCAATGAAGTGACGGACTGAGAGTCAGGTTGCAAGCATTCCTTCTTATGGTGGCATATATGGCACACCTTCTCAGTGGGATCTGACCCGGTGTGCTGGCGCGTTTAGGGCCAGGTTCTCACCACGTCGGCCACTCGCACCTCTTCCGTCTACGGCCTTCTTGACTTGGCCAGGACACCGGTGGGGGGAGTAAAGAGTGCGGCAGATGGAGCGAACGTCCACTCTGACTATAATATAACTCACGCACTAGTCACCGTCCAATCGGCTCTGGTGCAGACGGATGACCTCGTCGGAGTAGAACTGTTATATAATTTGAAATCTCTCATTACTACAGCATTTATTTGGGGTGGGTTACAGACAAGAAGGAATTGACAACATTTTATGCCGGGTCACTAGTCGGTGAGGATGTCTGCGATTAGTAGCTACAATCGTCGCAGTTTGCAAAACAGTGCATAAATACAAGAGCTGGTAAAATATCGCCGTTTTCCATACCATCTTTATAGTTTATGATGCTCGCCACGTTGGCAACGTCAAAAAAGATGTTCTCTGCCGCTTCGCGGTAGTTCACATCATGTGATTAGGGAAGGCCCGAGAACATCACTATAGGTCATTCGATGGAAAACCTAATTCTTTATCTATTTTTTGGAATTGCACGGAAGGTACTTGGCCAAATACACATACCTTAATTGGTATGCATCTATAAGACATGCCTACTAGATTTTTATACCGAATTACCGAATAAAAAACCAACCCAGCAAAGCAATAACATCCCAAACAGAATGAGGTTTTCACTTCAGCATGTAGTAAAACGCACATGTTAATTATTAAAATTATGCACTTTCTTAAGTTGACCGACATGATAGTCACCCCCCGTTTGTATCTTCACGGAGTGTGCGACTTGTCCCACTGCCGAATTAATTGTCTGCACTATTGTGCACCCATTGGAGCTTTCGTCGAATTCCTTAAGATATAATCCTTGTTTGATTCCGCTAGTAACATACCGACCATAGAAATCCCGTAGCCTTTGGTTGCTAGGGCGTTCAGCTTCGGGGTAACAGTCAACCCAGTCATGCCTGATGCTCTTTGAAGCTGTTCCTTGTTTCCATTCCTAAGGACATAGTCTTAAACATCTAATATGCGACTGAGGTACCGGATAGCTTTCAACTCTAACACTAGAGTCCTATAAGACAGAATGAGAGGAGTGCTCACTAAGAATATCAAGGTCCTGTTGACTCATGCTCCAGCCTGATGACCTTGATGAAGGAGACAGTCGAAGGAAAACACTAGCCAAAAAATAGAATGCCTACGACTGACAGATTGTGTTAAACCGACCGAACTCTTATAAAGTACCCGTGGCTCTTTTCCAGTAGTTGCGTAGGCAAACTGCAGAACATTTATCATCCGGGATGAGTACCGAGCATGAAGGCGACCGCAACACTATTCTGTACAAACCTTCCTGATGGGAGAAAGCAGATCTACCGACCACTAAATAAAGTTCTCCAAAATAACTTTCCCCTCATCTGCGGGAAAACGAATTTTCATGAACGAAGGCAATATCGCATCCCCTTCCGTCACAAATAATTAATGATCTCGATCAATTCTCAAGCACATTCTGATTAGTGCACAGTTAGTTTCCCCTTGTCCTGTTTTTGTTGAAGAATGGAACGCTTACAGCGGTCGCGGCTGAAGGTCCGGGGAAAAATGAAGCCAGCTTCACGTGCTCTTAGCTAAAAGTTATATAACTGCAACATTTGTGTCAAAAACAGTGTTTTAGACATTTTTCAAGGCAAGCCCGACCACTGGCTAGCCACCCAGATCACATTAGCAATGTGCATTTTCACGCATTGCATTTGTAATAAGTTGGAAAACGACTATTTCGAAGTAAAGCTAATATCAGTCATAAAAACGTAGTCGACAGTGAAAAGATAATCCCAAACGACAGGAATCTCTAAAAGACCAGCCATCTATTAGCTTAGCTACAGCGTTCTTAGTGGTAGCTGGCGGTAGAACGACCTTCGGCGCCGGAGAACAAGCAGTTGTGACCCTTGCAGCAGCAGTACCTGCAGAAGTGGCCAGATATCGACATGCTCACTCGGATTACAAGCCATATGATTATGGCCGGCCATGCGGGCTTCCCGGTACAATTCGACATGCCAGGAAGTAGAGGTATCTCTCCATGAACACAGGAAACCATGTTTCCACCAATTTGTCCAACCCTACACCCCTTGGACTAGGCATAACTTAACCGGATTTTGGACTTTCGGAAGGCCACAGTTTGTGAACTCCCAGTTGGCTTGTCGACTGTCAATTGTATCAAAAGCCGCGATTCCCTACACAACAATAAAAAATTGCCAACCCATGAAGTCTGCTGATACACGGTTGTAGCTAAAATGCACGGACAAAACAAAACGACACATTTGGCACAAGGCAGTCATACAACAAAGCACTATTTTACTGGTAAGAAATCTAAAAAGTCACTATACAGTTTCATTTTCATTGTTGCTGTTGCATACGTCCGACCAGGGCTTGGAAGCGATTACGAAGAAGCACGGAGACATCGATATAGCGTTCGACACAGTTTTTCAAACAGTTGGCTCGCTTATCGTCCATTTTAGCTCCAGGAGTTCCGGTATAACACAGATCCCAACACCGACCAGTCAGAGCAGACACCTGGTTCTGAAATTCAGCTTGCGTTTGCAGCTTTTGAAGAGCCATTTTCATCTCATTATCTGAGGCATTTTGTTGGACAGAGTCGTCATGGAATGTTGGCGGTGTAGACTCAAACCTGTGGGATAAATAGTCATAGAAGTCAGACGTAATATTCTGATTTACAAGGAAAGCCACAAAAAAACTACTAAAAGAAACGCTTGGAGAAAAAAGAGCCGTCCCTTAATTAAAAAATTAACGCAAACAAACGCTTTGGCATGTGGCAGCACGTGAAGTATAGGAAAAAAGGCGCGAGTTTCGAAATAACCCCTTAAGAAAAAAACGAGACCTCCACCCGTTTTACCCTTAGTCTTGCGCTTTAATTGCAAATGAATACAAAGTTACTAAAGATCGCTACAAACAGGAGTTTCTTTGAACTTGCAACTGTGTATATTTATCTATCGTAGTCTGGTAATGCAAGTTAATGAGAACCAGGACCTCGGAAAGAACAGCCCGCCCACTGGCTACCCGGTGCGTCCGTGTTTAACACACAGGGGAACAGGCTTCAGCAGAATGGTTTCGAGGTGGGCAAACCTCCCAAGCAGTCGGAATGCAGTAGACGCCGTCTAGAAAATCGACATAGCGATTGAACCAGCCTAAAACAGAGAGCCTAGGCCCCAATCTCATACACATGGATTGCAATGTGCAAAATCGACAGAGGATATAACTTAACGTAGTGCTGGTAACACGTGTGGTGGCAACTCACTAAGGTTTCCTAGGGAGAATTACGCAAACCCAGTTATAGGTGGTTCCAAACAAGTGCGTGAATATTAGTTTCCATTCTGTCTCGAGTCGGCGTTCTTGCTGTCGTATTGCACGTAATCCTTTTACATCGTTTGCGACTGAGACCAGACCACACAGATCCCTCCAGCATTGCAAGTACACGAGATTCTAACAATGAGCGAACAGCTAATTCCTAAGTAGTAT